AACATGTGCAGCAAATGGACTGATCCAATATGGTGGACACTGAAGGGGGGGCTGAGACACACTTAATATTATCAGCATTCTGATGGCATTTTAGCCAAAGGTTTTTTATCAAAAATGCAATGAATATGCACAAATAAGGAATAGTTTTTTTTAAGTATAAATGTAAACAGAGTTTTATGGGGCCCCCAGGAACTTTGGGCCTTAGGGAACTGCATAGTATTGCCTAATGGTAAATCCACCCTCCCCCTGTTTCCATGCCCCTCGGCTGGATCATATATAAACCTTTCCATACGTCTAGCGCCTAACAGAGCCTTAGCCTTCAGTCATCTGATCCTGTTTATTGTTCATCAGTCACGCCCAGAACCTGCAAATTATTACTGACAAGCACTGGAAAAATACCCACATTCAAGCGTGAGTGGGAGAAATATGTTTGTACAAAGACTTGTAAAAAGCAACACCTTTAGGCTTTTTTTTAAAGTCTAATTATTATCTTTTAGCAAATTTGATATGCTCATTAAAGTTTTTTACACCTTTAAAAGTCTTTACATAACTTTTATTCAACACTTTTTAAATCATTTATAGTTTAAACTGGTATTTCAGCTTAGCGCCCGTTTATCTTGTAGTACACTGCAAAAAATTTAAATCCAAGTAAATCAGTTTTTCTTAAAATAAGTTCATTTTGTCTTGAATTGAGCAGATAAGAGAATCACTTTGCCAATGGAATAAGACAATTTACATTTAAAATAAGAAAAAGACTGCAGGCTCTTCTTTTAAAATGCATAATAACCAATTATCTTATTTTAATGGTAAAAATGCTCATTCTATTGCAAATGAAATTATTGTCCAACTCAAATTCAGGTTAAATACACTTATTTTAAGAAATGTTTTGCAGTTTTTGCAGAAAGGTCAAATCTTAGACACATTTTTACTTAAAATCCCAGCGCTTTCTTAAAATGCTCTTAGTAACGTGTGCAGCATTGATGAAACCCTGATTAGAATGAACTGAAACATCCTGACCTCATTAATCAAGACATTTTTTTAATCAGCAGACCAGTTGTTCTGCATTGACTCTGATCCAATCCACAGCTGCTGGGACATTCAAGGCTTTCAGAGACACTTTAACTTGAAATGTTTGTATTTTGGTGGCTGTGGGAGATAAGCCTAAGTGGCCTCCCACCATCTGAGGGTCGCTGAAGAACCTTTTCTCTTATCGGTGCCTCACACATGTTCCTTGTTGTTTTGGTGGAAGGCTTAGATTAAATTAAAAATCATTAAAGCATCACTTTGATGTTTAAAGTGTGAAAGGTATTTAGTTTTGTGAAGGATGACCTTGTTTTCTTCAAGAAGACAACAGGAAGAGGTTTTCTCATTGTCTGAAGGCATAAAAAGCGTCTCAGTCATGCAGAGCTGAAAGGGACAAAGAAAATCAAAGAAAAGCTGCTTCTCACCTGCAGGATAATCTGCTGCTTCTAATGAGTCCAAAAATCCAAGGTTGAAATCCCCCCTCAGGTAAGACTGGCAGCTGTAGGTGTTTTAGATCTCACTACAAAGTAAGTTCTGTGTTACTACAAGAACCTAAGGAATGTTAAAGAGTGTGAAGACCAGCTGTTTGATTGGTCAAAAGCCAACCAATGGCACGGGTTCAAAAGAAACAGATACCCCGCCCCTTTAGTGCTGAATTCCTGTCTGAGAGCCTGTTTGTCTCTAAAACCTATGGACAACATAAAAACACCAACTGAGTCATAGAAAAGGTCAGTTTCTCTCAGGACTGTTAGGGAATAAAAAACTGAATAAATATGTGTGTCTGTTTTCACCCTGACGATCTTCCGGACATTTTAAGAAAGCAGACAAGACAAAACCACCAACAGGAAGTAGAACAAACCAGAAATACATGATCTCAATGTTTGAAGAGCTCCTATAACTGAATAGGAGGGTAGAAATGAGCTAAAGCCCCACACACAGTTCAATATACAAAGATGTATTCTAAAGGTAAAGTAAGAATATAGATATACAACTGAATTAAACCTTCAATATAGAACACAGCTATGGAGGACCAGGAGAGTCTGTGAAAAAGATAAACAACCATTTTAAATGTAACATTTAAATAATACATTTAGAAATCCTATTTAAAAAGGATTTTTAAATTGCACTTTTTAATTCAAATTATTCAATTCTATTCAGTTTATTTCTATAGCTCCAATTCACATCATGTCATCTCAGGTCACTTTCCAGTTCACCAGATCATCCAGTCAGATTGATTCAAAGTTTTCTATCTAAGGAAAACCAGCTGATTGCATCGACTCATTGACTCTTCAGCAATCCCTCACACTAAGCATGCTTGTAGCGACAGTGGAGAGGAAAAACTCCCTTTGAACAGGAAGAAACCTCCAGCAGAACCAGGCTCAGTGTGAGCGGCCATCTGCTGAGGCTGACTGGGGTTCAAGGAGACAGAAGCAGACATAGAAAAAGAAGCATAGATACAAAAGGCAACTGTCAACCAGCTGACTTAGATTTACATTTTTTGCAGTGCAGCTCCATGTCAGAGGATGAAAAAGAGCAAATCCAGTTAGTCTAAGGGGGTGTTCGGTTTCAGCAGCTGTCTCCACCAAGGACCCGGTCTACCTGGACTGGGTCCTTCCACGTCCGTGAAATTAAGGAGGCCGGAAGAGTTTTGGATTCAAACAGGTCCAGCCTTCTCCAGCTTTCACCGCACGTACAATCTGTCGCCTAGCAACCGTAAGAGATGACAAACAAAGTAGGCGGAGTATGGATACTGAACAACACTGCTGTTCTGGGTGCTAATAACATTTCTGAGGAGCTTCAACAGCAGTACGGTCGTCTCAGATATCAGATTTATAGTCCCCACCCTGCAGAGATGTTGGAATCTGAGCTTAAATGTCCGTCAGACCCATTTACACAGGGACAGATAAAACCTTTCAATAAACCAAACATCACCGTCACATATCTGACTCAATAACCATTAAAACAACTATTTTCATTCGTTTCAGATGGAACTATTCTCAGACTTGGATTATATTAAACTGCACTTCCAATATTCACCAGTGTTTGGGGCCATTTCCCTTTTTCCTCTGAGCACAGAGCAGCTGGCTTGCTTAGATTTGCAAAGAATCATGGGATACCAAAGGCTACGGAGGATACTGCAGACCTGTCCTACAAAACGGGAAAAAAAGAAGGCTGCATTTGTCAGGCCACTGTGACGTAATCAGCCAACGAATCCAGGCTTCGTTGGACGCCGCCCCTCAATTTGAACTCAGCAAAAGTCAGAGAAACAGGACAACACTGAAAAACAGGCCAAGCTATGTTATCTATCTTAGGGTGAGTATTGTATAAGGCTGTGACCAATAGATTCTGACATTTCTTTAACTTTTTAAAGGACCAATCGACCCACATTTTTTAGGGTAAGTTGTGATGAAATTGTCTAGCTCCGCCCCTGGTTCAGAGCTTTGGTTTTACAGAGGAAAGCAGGAGATGAGGAGCAAAACTAGGACTTCTATGTAGACCAGAGGTATACCACCCATGGTAAAGACTCTGGATCGAAGGGCTGGCAGCAGTCCTGGATGAAGGTCCCCTGTCAGCACGGGGCCACATGTGACCCTCAGGCTCCACCTAGAGGGAAAAGCAGGAAGCAGCAGGCAAAATGAAGATAATCTCCAGGACACCAACCGAAACATGCAGTTGCATTTAACAAAACATGCAGAAGATTTTTTTTTTTTTTTTAGTTTTGTCCTGTCCGATGCCATATTTGAAAATGTTCCCAGTAAGGTGGTGGTGCGGAGCAGGGAACATTCTTGTGTTTTTAACTTTTTTATTCTTGTTTTTCTTTGTGTTTTTTTCTTTCAGTCTGCAGCTAAGTTGTGAAACGCTTTATAAATAAAGTGGTTTGGTTTGTCCTGTGAACCACTGTCACAAAATGATGGCCAATTCAATAGTTTAGACTAAATTTGGACTTTTTTGTTGAAATTTCTATTTATTTTCAGTATTTGGATTATTCTCTTCTGTAAAATTAATATTCTTAAAAAAGCTTTTCAGTCATGTGACCGACTGTTTCCATCTAATTATAATCAAGTTACTTTTTTAAATGAACTTTAATAATGTAAAAAGTCATGATTTATTGTCTAGTATATCAAAAATTATTTATTCAGTCCCTAAGTAAACCCCCGCTGCTCAGGGTAGAGCTGCTGACATCACGGTGTGTTCACACCAGAAGCGCTCTGGGCTTCAGAGCTTCTGATTTACATGTAAAGTCTATGGTGGATGGCGTCAAGCAGCGTCCAGAGGTCGTGGTGACGAGAGCAGCGTGTCCCGGCATTCAGACATCTGATCTTTTGCAGCTTGAGGAAAAACATCAACCAATCAGACGTGTTTCGGGAGACAGACACAACCTGCAAGCTGTCATCATTTCTGCAGAGCTGTCAGCATATGAAAAATCTATAAATATAAAGGGATTAAACTGAACAGGTTTCAAAAAACCAGGAGGATTGTTTTTATTATGTACAAAGAGCGAGCTCTGATCATTATATATAAAAATGTTCAAATCTGCCAAGAGAAATAAAGGATCGGATCCTCCAAATCCGAGGCCATGGTTCTCCAACGGAGAAAGGTGGACTCTCCTCTTCAGGTCGGTGGAGAGTCCTTGTCTCAAGTGGAGGAGTTCAAGTATCTCGGGGTCTTGTTAACAAGTGAGGGACTGATGGAGCGTGAGATCGATAAACGGATCGGTGCGGCGTCAGCAGTGATGCGGTCGATGTATTGCACTGTTGTGGTGAAGAGGGAGCTGATTCAGGGGGCAAAGCTCTGATTTACCGATGGGTGAGGGTGAGAACGTAACGACGTAACGACCCAAAGGACAAGACTGCGAATAAAATCAGTCGAATGAGTTTCCTTCACAGGGTGGCTGGGCGCACTCTTCCAGATCAGTTGAGGAGCTCAGTTACCCGGGAGGAGCTGGGAGAAGAGTTGCTGCTCCTCCACGTCAAAAGGAGCCAGCTGAGGAGGATCAGGAATCTATTCTGGATGCCTCCTGGTCGCCTCCCTCAGGAGGTGTTCCAGGCATGTCCCATAGGGAGGAGGCCTGGTGGAAGGTCCAGGACACGCTGGAGAGACT